AACTTATGGCTAAAGGACACATTATATAAATTATTTAATTTGATCCCTTGACATAACTTGCGTCGTATTATTCCTAGACACAACAAATTTAATAATTCAAGCGATTGACGGTCCGCCGTCTATCCGAACACACACATACACACACACACACACACACACACAAACACACACAAACACACACACATGCGCACGCACGCACGCACTCACTCACGCACGCACGCACGCACGCTCCCACCCACACACATAAAAGGAAACACACGTATAGAAATATAACAAACAATCAAGTTAAAGATTGGGAAGCCGTCAAGAAACATGCTACAGCTGGACTGGAAGATGTCAAAAACTGGCTGGATGTTTTTAAATTGTCTTTGAATGTTAACAAAACAAACTACATTGCTTTTTCAAAGACAATGGCTGATCGACCTCAATTTAGAAGTTTAACATGTCAAAATTTAGACATCCAAATATTTAGGTATAATTATAGACTAGCACTTAAAATGGGACTGTCATATAATATATATAGCAAAAAACTTAGATTTCTGATTTATAAATTTTATCTTCTAAAACAATTTCTCAACCAGGATCTACTAATAACATTATACTACAGTCTAGTAGAATCTATACTACGGCATGGAATCTTAGTATGGGGAGGCCTGTATGGAACTACATTAAATCAGTTAAATGTTATTCAAAACAAAATCTTGAAGTTAATATATAAAAGAGATAGATTGTGTCCCATGAAAAAATTAGCAATGTTAGATGTTTATATATTCACGCAGTGTGTTGTTATATACAAAAAAATTAATTTTTAAAAAACCCTTTAGAACATAGAGATAACAGTAGAATTGCATCGAACATGTGCATTAAAGTACCAAAACCAAATAGTGAGTTTTTTAAAAACAGTGTAAATTATCTAGGGACAAAGTTCTATAACGCTCTACCTCTTCATATAAAATTATTAAACAAATATAAAACATTCGGTAAAGTTAGCAAAATATACATTTTCCAAAATCATGTAAAGTTTATCAGAATATTCCAAGAATAACGGACTTAATACATGGATTTTTTTTAAATAGTTTTTTTTTTTCTGTTTCTTGCATAAATTGTTCAAGTTTTATTTTTTATTTAAAAAAAAGTCCCGAAACAAAGTAAGGTGTAACTGATTGCTTAAAGGAGATCATTTTGACACTTGCTGCGAATACAAAAAATTTCACTTTATATGACAAAATTAGAAAAAGGTATTTTCTTCCTTAAACGAGTTATTAGTAACACATTTAAGGGGGCCTTACACGCTACGATTTTTGTGAGATTTGAACTGTACAGTCCATCGTACCAGTCCAAAACTTAACGTGAAGTGCTCAAACTGACTCACTTCTGACCTTTCCTCTTTTGTCAAATATGAGTGAAGAGTCAAATAAGCTGATTAAATCTTACCTTCAGAACAGAACTGTGCGTTTTGGCCAGCATGAAAAGCATCCAGTAATATTATCCTATGTGACGGCCAATTTGACAGCTGACAGAATATTTTAAATAAAAGATTTTTATCCAAAAAAATGTTCAATAAATTATAATTCTTAACTGAAAGTACGCCATGACGTTACAAAATAATTGAATCAGTTAAAAAATCCAAACGTTTAAACAAAACAAAAATCATTCCAACATCTCTATTAATAACGAAGATGAGAGGTGTAGAACTTTTAAGTGGCCCACCCTGTAGGTATACTCGCCTGGCGGGCACTAGTAACCGCCAAAATCACGTGACAGTTATAACATTGGTAGAAAATAAAATAATTGAAAGAATATTTTCTATAGCACGTTAATTTTAATAAACACAAAAATTTAAATCTAGATGTGGCAACTATGTATCGCTCTGTCAAGTCATTATTTCCATATTTAACTAGTATTAAATTATAAATGTACAAATTTTCAGCCTTATATTCAACACGTTACTAGGTACCAAAAATATATAAATGTAAATATAAATTATACCTATTTATTATTTAAACATGAAAAGCTAATACAGAAATTGAGAAAACAATTGCGATTTTCTTATGACACAGTGACATTATCAATTAAAAAAAAAATATATAATTTATAGGAAGCCCTAATAGAGAGTAAATTACCAAAAAATACTAATAACTGCATTAAGTACAAAAAGAGAAATATTGTTAATCTAAAAATGTAATAACATTTAGTTAGTTTAGCCATAGGTACCTATTCACTAATCAATCACAATCCTACACTTAACTATGCAAGCAAAATTGCATGGTTGAGAGTTTATTAAAATTAAGTAAAAAATGTAGATCAAAACACAGTATACCTGAATCTACTAGACTAAACGGAACTACCTGATATTTAGGTATATCTCTGGTACCTATATATCTAGATGGTGGGCACCGAAAACGAATAATTTTTAGGAATAAACAACTTTTGCACACACAGAAATAATTTTAAAATAATATATGAAAAAGGATTGTTTTGAAATTTTTTAGGCATCTTGGCACTAAGCCACTCAATTAGTTGTCAATTTACGTATCAAATAAATCTAGATACTTGAGGGCTAAACGCTAACCTTTATCAAATATATCTGAAACTAATATCTAATGAACTTACCTCAAATTGGAAAAATATGTTTCGTCTTTATAGCACATATTAAAATAAATCACTGTTTTTTTTTTAAATGTTTATTAAATAGCGTCTATAATCACAATTATTAGCCACCATCTTTTAATTATATGCAAGTAATTAGGCATTTCAACGACCTGTCAAACAATACCTGACAGTAGGAAGGTCTCGTATATCTAAGGGGGTAGCGACATAGTCTTGCATCTTGGACGCTATTTTTATTCGAAATATCAGTCGTCAATCCTGCCAGTTTTTAAAAAAATGTACAAGCAGTTTTTTTAATTAATATTTTTATAGTGTTCGATATAAAATATTTAAATGTAATCCATTATTCATGATTTTACGTATTGTAGATAGAATACATCGTATGTCGCAACCGTCAGATCTACCAAACCTGCCCACTGGCAATTCATTTGTTTGGAATGCCTAATTAGGCATTCCAACGACCTGTCAAACAATATGTGCCAGTGGGAAATTCTTGTATATCTAAGGGGGTAGCGACATAGTCTTGCAACTTGGACGCTATTTTTATTCGAAGTAGTAGTCGCCAAGCCTGCCAATTTATGAAGAAATGTATAGGTAGGTTTTTTAAATATTATTTTTATTGTGTTTGACATAAAATATTTAAATGTAATCCATTATTCATGATTTTACGCAAAGTAGATAGAATACACCGTATGTCGCCACCCTTAGATATACCAAACCTGCCCACTGGCCATTCATTTGTTTGGAATGCCTAATTTTTTGAATGGGTCGTGTTTCGTCGTGGATATTCGGAAATCATAGATGATCTGATATAAAAATTGTAATAGAATCATAGATATAGATATGGATATAGATATAGAATGTAACGAATTCAAATCAAGGTCAAAGTTTATACGTGAGTCCATTTTATTGTTGGGAATATTCAAATATATTTTTGTTTTAATTTTGAATACTAAAAGTATAATTTATACTTAGTTTATTATTTTTATGCAATTTTCTTGGCTAGTATATTGATCAATAACCTGCTTTGCTTCTGTTAAAGTGAATAACAAATAATAAATCATAAATAGTTGGTACCAGTCACAAATCGAATCACCAGTCGGTAGCATCGTTACCGACCTGTGACTGGCAATATCGATAATGTATCCTTTATTCTGGTATTCTGGTGCATATTACGTGATCGCTATTATTTTCTTTAACACAAGCAACACAGACTCAAGGTTTGATATTTCCACCACTGTATACGGATTTTTTAAGAATTTCCAAATCTTTTATTCACTTGATTGTTGACGTTAATTTATTTAAAGACAAATAAAAACAGTTTTAAAAACGACGACGAAAAAGAATAATTCTTTTTATATATTTTTGGAACTTAATAAAAATGGTTTTTTTGTTGTTTTATTATTGGTTTATTATTGTTTTTAAGATACCTACATAATTTCAAATTGATTTTTTTACAAGCTACGTCCTCCCTCTTTCAATGGCATTATTAATTAGCTTTTATAACCACATTTATAGTAGATAGCTACCGACCGGTAACAACGCAGCGAGTTTTTAAATTTATTGTACGCTGCATTCTATATTCTCATAATAGATGGCAATACGGCGTCCGTTAAATTCGTTTTACGTTCAATGATATACTGCGTTTGACAAATACCTCGTTTTGCTTTTTTTTTTCTCAATATCGTTCTTTTAATACATCCAAGCTCAGTTTGCTTCATTGATACGGTTTGCTCGTTGTCACGTGGTCAGAAAATCTACTCGCTCATAGATTACTCGTCGCTATATAAATCAGACTATGAAAAGCGGGTTTCAACCGTTCTTTGTTAGTTTCAATGGACGAAGTTTTTACTTTATTTAATATATTTTGTCTCAAATGTCAGTACTCATTTGTAAACAATTAATTTAGAAATTAAAAACTGTACCTATTTCAGTGTTATTTTTGTCATTAAGATTTTACAAATTACAATTTATAAGCATAATTTTAGTCGTCTAATTTATAGGTGAGCAATCAATCTATAAGATTATATTTATATCTCATTGATTTCGATTCGTAAACGTTGCTTTAAGTTCGAAGTTTTGACTGCCATCTATAATTAGCTACGGAACCATTATCGTTTCTCACTATCACCATAGATTTGCAGATGGCGCAACTGCTCGTTAAGTGGGAATAGTTATGTTAAACTTTCGATCATCTAAACTACAGGTAAAGTTAAACCAAAGATTTGGTATACCAATGACATCAATGATAAATTTGAATAAGCCAATCTCTATTCTCTAATCATTGGTTGTTTACTAATAAAATTGTATGTACGTTATTCCGGTTACTCCGGTTTACATTTTATGTGTTCTGTGGATCAATGATAAAACGCAGCACATATGATTCATAGTCTGTCAGTCAATGATGTCATTTTCATTATTTTCAATTTGAGAAATTTCTATTATTTACAATAAAATTACCTATTTAAGTTTAAACATTAGTATTGTTTGAAAATAGAAGTATCAGAAGAAGTGTTTATTAAATAATAAAAATTCTAAATAAGTAAAAACGACAGTATAAGTGAAAGCAACAGAAAAACCTGCCCTACCTCGTAGAAATTATACCAAAACTGCAATAATGGGTAATGAAATGTCTTCGAGTGCTATGGAAAGTATCCTTTTCTTAATATAGTTTTAAATTTGAATAAAAGTATTCTATCGTGAGAAAGATAACCTTAATTATAAGTAATTACAGGTAAAGTATCCATTATATTTATAATTTGGTATTTTAATAATACGAAAACAGTATTTTTAATAATAGAAATGAATACTGGTAGAAATAACGTTGGTACATTTATTGGACATTCCAAATTTTTACAATTTAGAGTCTTTGATAAAGTTAAATGGTGTCTTCATGAAATTTATATACTACTCTCCAGCCTTAGGGCCATACTTACTCCAGTAAGTTCTAAGGGCCAAAACTTTTAATTTTCCTGCAATTAGCCATAATTTCTAGCCTAGTCATCTAATATGCTTGCTAAATTCTCTAGTTTAAATACCAGATTTAACCTTTACTATTATCTTTGAGATAGACAGCGGGAAATCTTTGAATTAATGTAAATTTAACAAAAACTAAAAAATATAGAACAGATAAAATAAAAATGGGAATGTTTTAAATGCTCTTTAAAATTCAAATCGAAAGAACGGTGTAGAATAATAATGTTATTATTAAAATGGGAGTCACTGTTACAATTTTTGTTTGTAATTTGCAAGTATTTCATTTTTTATTTCTGCTGCAATATGATTTGGTCGAGGATTTGGTAATTTATTAAATGTTTTAATTCCATATCTTTATGCCCTATCTAGTTTAAATTCATAAAAAATATAAAATTGATAAATTCAATATAAAATTTATTTTTAAAGAAACTGATATTGAATGTGTTGTGGTTGTGACTATGTATGTCTTCCTGAGTAACTACTTCAATAATTTTGCTATTTGTATAGATAACTAGCTGCTTCTAGCTAAGTTTTAAAGTTTACAGGTTTTTCTTAATAATAATTACAATACATTTCTTTTGTAATAAAAAGGACAGTCAGATAAGACGAATATAATATTGACAAACAGAAATTTAATGTATAAAACAAAATTGGTTTCAGAAGTCAAAGCTATGAATTACTTCATTCATATTTAACAGAAAGAAAACAATCTGTTGTAATTGATGATGTGGTCAGCGAAAACAAAAATGTTGTATGTGATGTCCTACAAGGAACTGTACTACTACCAATATTGTTTAACATATATCTAAATAATTTATTTGCTGTCAATTCAAATGGGAAAATAGTTAGTTTTGCTGACGACACCGCAATTATTTATGGGAGCTCAGACTGGGATACATTAAAAATATGTGTTATTATTAGTATTTATTATTACTGTTCTAAAAAAAATACAAAAAAATACGTGTGGCACTCGGGGACTGCCGCGGTAAAGCTATTGCATAGCATTTTTTATCAACTTATGCAATTATAATTATTTATTTATGCTGTAATTTTTTTCTTTGATATTAATTCAAGTTTTTTTCTTTGATATTAATTCAAGTTACACTTTTTGAGCGTGGTGACCGATAAGAAAACAAATATTTTTTTTTATTGAATAAATGAGAAGTTAATATTGTTTAAAATATTTTTTTTATCTTATAATACATATAGGTTATTCGGGAATTTTTATCATTGAAACTATAGGTTTATGGTAACTGAAATAATAAACGTAAGTTTGAGACTTGATATCCTCTAAATATCTGGAAAATAACGCGTCAATGGTGGCCCCATATTTTGTTGTGGATTCTTGTGGATCATTATTCATTTCCATATTCAATTTTTCCGAAATTGTGTCTAAAAGATAGAGCAGCTAGTCTACTTGCATACGTCTAGTAGCACGCACACAAACACCGTGCCGAAGTCTGCCGAACTGAAACGACGTTAGACGATGCACGGCTTTCAACGCCGCACCGCTGTGCCCGTCGGAATGGGGGGTGATTTTTTGACTTTTCAACTTTTCGATTTTTCGAAGGTGTTAGGTTTATTTTCGTTACGTAATTTCTTGATTCTGTCGCCGCGCTCAAAGCCCCCCGATAAAATCTATGCAATAGCTTAATAATGAAATAGTTAACACTGATAAAATAAAAATTAATATTTTTTCTTACGACCACTTAGGAAAGTGACATATCACACTATATAGTCCTATGGAAAGTGCCCTATATCATACGCGTATGAATAAGAATTTACTTTCCACCCGTGTACGAATATGCTACTTTCCGCAGTAGCTGTCACAAAATGTCAAATGCATCATTTCTATTTTGATCTTTGTAATGTCCATATTAATATTAAAATCGATATGATTGTTAAATTATTGAAATTGTTGTAAATTAGATCCTAGATATTTATCTTTAACAATTATAATTAAAATAATTGTAAAATAACTAAGATATGTTTGCTCTTTATTCTGGTTAAACACAAAACCGATTAGATCATTAAATTGACGCATGGCCTATTAGCTTAGGTGGTTAGAGCGTCAAATTTATCAACTTTGCCATTTGAGACCTGGCGAGCGACCGCGTTCAAATCCTGGCGGGGCCAGAATTTTTTTTTATTTTTTTTTTTTCTAATTTTTTTTTTGTTTGAAAATGTATTATACTATATAAATCTTGCAAAAAAATTAATATCTAATATTTACGCCAGCCGGGAACATTTGTGATACCAATTTATTAGAAGCCAGAGAAAGCTCTTCTAGTTCTTGTATTGCATAAACGTTCCAGTCCGCAGACGTGTATTTAACTCCGCTTCATACTAATACGAATAGGGTCGGATAAAACTTTCCACGGGTTTTAACGCCGCACCGCTTTGCCGGTCGGAGTGGGGGTTGTTAAGTTTATTTTCGTTACGGTATTACGGAATTTCTTGATTCGGTCGCCGCACTCAAAGCCCGTGATAAAAGCTATTTAATAGCTTAAAAAAATATATTAAAAAGTTATACATAGGGTATTACAGTTGATCTTAAATCGCTCAACTTCAGACAGGTTTTCCTTATAGTTGGTCGTCACAAAGGTTAACTATTACCAAAATATAATTAAAAAAAAAAAACAAACAAAAAAACTTTTAATTATTATAAATATATTTTAATGTACACTCAAATATTTTAGCCAGATGTATAGGATCTAGATATCCTTTAGCTTTATTATTTATTTACTAGATAATATTGTAATATTTCAAATTGTATTTACCGTTATTTTGTAAATAAATTATTATTATTATTATTATTATTATTATTATTATTATTATTATTATTATGAAGGTATATAATTTAAAAAATGTATAGATCTAAAATAAGCATCATTTAATATGTGTACTCAATCCTTAATCATTATTAGAGCACCTCTTTAATCTCAAATTTGCTGTAAAGGAGCTAGAAAGAAATTCAAAGAAATGTGAAAAAGAGGAAAAGCAGGAGAAAGCAAAAACAAAACAAGCGATACAAAAAGGAAATATGGAAGTAGCTAGAATACACGCAGAAAATGCTATAAGACAAAAAAATCAATCTATTAATTACTTAAGGATGTCCGCTAGGGTTGATGCTGTAGCTAGTAAAATACAATCGGCAGTTACAACAAGAAAAGTTACAAATTCAATGGCTGGTGTTGTAAAAGCAATGGATGTTGCCATGAAGAGTATGAATCTTGAGAAAATCTCGAATGTTATGGATAAATTTGAGCAACAATTTGAAGACCTTGGTGTACAAACTGATGTTCTTGAAAATACAATGGGACAAACCACAACCACCCTTGTTCCTACGAATGATGTGGATTCACTTATGCAACAAGTTGCTGATGAAGCAGGGTATGTTTATTTAAAAATATATTATCAATTGAAGAGTCGGCTCGAACAACGTTGTAACTTACATTCTTTCAACTTTTCAGGAGGGGCAAAAATCTATATATCTATCATTTGCCTTTTAACATGGGAAAACGTTGTGCGATCGTGACAGTTACAACGTTCTTTTATACTGTTAGCAATTTATCCATTTATCCATTGTTTAGGCTACAGAGCATTTTACACAAGAAAATTTTGGAATAACGTTGTAACTGCTTTGTAACTTACAACGTTTTTCCATAACTTGCAAAGTTTTAATATACTATACAAAATAAAAAACCTTGTACTATTATTAATATTTATATTTTTCAGTATGTCTTACTTAAAAACAAAACTGTCTAACAGAATAAGAACTAAGTCTAATACAAAATGTTTAATATAGTATATAAATGAAAGTAGGAGATATTTTTAGGGATGCAAAAAAAATACATTAATAATCCTAATACTAAAAATAGACAGTATATAAATTTGTAGGTAAAAGTGATATTCATTCTGTTTACAAATTTTCGTAAAAAGGATGATAAACCGGATTCATATACTGACACATATCTATTAAATTAGCTTTTTTAGCAGCCGAAATAGATATTGGTCCCTCATATGCCAAAGGTAAAGTTTCCATACTGAAAAAAGTTGAAGTACTTGCCTTGTACTTGGCAATATTTTTTACGATGGGAAAATGTTTCCAGGGTCGAAGGACGTTATGAGTCTCTCTTGTAAATAATGTATTTGGGTCTTCGGAACTAATTTTATTCCATAGTGATTCCGTAAGTTTAAATTTGGGATTTCTGTAAAGAGCTTTTTCCAAATCTCAGATCTTTAAAATCCTCTCTTTGCATGTACAAAACATAAAAAGGCGTACTTTTCCTTGCGTTGGCAATGACTTCCATCCCTATCGCAGGGCAGGAAGCTGTGTCCAGTTGAGAGAAATTTTTGGTGCACTTCTGTGAAATAATTTAGGTCCACTAAAAGTTTTAAAGTTGTAATCATTCGCCAGTTATTGTTCTGTCCCACACATCTGTCTGACCATATTATAGCTGTCTTCTTTCACCTGTTTGCAATGGCTTGAAATGTTCTTTTGTGTACCTCAGTAAACATGACGAAATTTCTATGGCCCCTCGTTTTGCTACTGTTTCATTCCACAGCATCATAAACGCATTGTTAGATGCCGCATCATGTATATCCAAATTGTAATTTGACAGCTGGCGTTGGTAAAATACGCTGGAATGATGTAAGGTAGGACAGAATAAGACCTGTTGCAAATCAATGAATAATACAAAAATATTAGAGGGATTGCTTTCTGCCAACTGTTTATCTGCATTAATTTGTGCATACCCTGCTTTAGCACGCATTTGATGAATCTGCATCTCTTGAGATATTTTTTGTCTTTCTTCTTCAGTACTGGCGGCACATAACTGAATATAATGCTTGTCGCAAAATGTGCATGTATCGGAACGGGGTAGTCCAAATTTTAGATTCAGTTTTGCAAATATATCATTGTATGTCCTAACTGATATATTGTTATGCTCTGGATATTTTTCACAAAAGAGCTTATACATTTTTTTAAGTTAAGATCTTCGGACAGGAACTCTGTATGAGTTTTAGATCGCGAGTAGTGACTTTTCTGTTTAGGAAAAGAAGAAATATGTTCCCTAATCAACTCTTTGACATTTCCTGGAACAGCATGTGGCCGATTCGTATGGCATCCTCGGAAATCTTTAATTTCAATACCATTCTTTAGCTTTTCCACTAACATTTGTATTCTTCGGGGGGTTACTTTAAGGGTATCGGTGACAGTTTTTTGGCAAACACGTATCTTTTCTTTCTCAAGAGGTAGAAAATAAAAAACTGTACACTTGCGGCGTGGATTTGGTTGATTTTTTACTTTTGGCCGTATGGGCTCACATATCTCAATACATTGATAAGCAAGAAATTGGGATTGTTGATTGTAAGTAAGACTTCTGAATTTTGAGAAAATGATACGTTTATTGCCCTCTAACTTTGCAGCGAAACATACTTAAGATGGGAATCCGAAACTTTTCAGAAGTATCAAAGTTTTTAGAAGGTTTTTGCACTTTTCTTGCTTGGTGGTTGATATTTTTTAACAAAAATACCTGATGACATTCTTTCTGCTATTACCATTCCTATAGTGACCAAAATATATTTTAAAATTGTCCCAAATATGAAATTAATAAATTGGCGCTAATTTAATATGTTTTTTTATTTTATTTTCGCCAAAATTTATTAATTTCAAATTCGGGACAATTTTAAAATGTATTTTGGTCACTATAGGAAAAGGTAATAGCACAAAGAATGTCATAAGGTATTTTTGTTAAAAAATAACAACCACCAAGCAAGAAAAGTGCAAAAACCTTTTAAAAATATCGAAACTTTTGAAAAGTTTCGGATCCCCATCTTAAAATAATAATAAAAGTGCAAATACATGACATTTAAATTCCCGCCCCATAATAGTACAGTTACAATGTTTTTTGACTTACCTCTTCTGGCGGAGCCACTGCCGGTATAATCTTCTTTCTTTTACTTAGATATTCTTCTCCTCTGTCTCTAGCTAACTTTGACTTATTGTTTTGCCACTGAGCAATCTTTGATTTGCTTTTTTTACCACGATTTAATGTATTTTGCAACGAAGACGAGAAATTTACCACCGACATGATGCAAAAAATGCAATAAAATACGTCCAAATATTCTCGTGCGCAACTACTTACAACGTTCGTCTGCGGAAATCGGCCAAATGACAAAATAAAATATTTGATTGGAGGGGGGATATTTAAAAACAGAGGGACTTTATTCTATTAGGCGGTTACTTTATTCCATGATTAACTCGATTTTATACAATTTGCGAGTTACAACGTTGTTCGAGCCGACTCTTCAATTAATAATACATAATCTTTGTTTTTAATTATTAATTAACAGAACCTTAAGAATTATACTAATTTTTATTCATTTTCTTATTGATTTGGAACAGTGTTAACTAATGAATTATTGAGATCACTTTATAAATACAGATGAAGTAAATTTTGCCTTAGAAACCTGTCACAATAAAAATCAACTATTTTTTAAATATTTTTGAATATATTCTTCTTTTAGTTTGGAATTAAACATGGAACTACCACAACAACCTACAGGGACTCAAGTGGGCACTGCTACTGCATCTCAAGAGCAGGATGAACTTTCTCAACGACTCGCACGGTTGAGACAAGCAGAATAAATCCAAAATCAGTGAGGGACAATATAAAAAAATTAATATATTTGATCTATTTTTAATTTTGAAGTGGTTCTATTCATATTGCTTTGGTTAAATCGTTTATATTAAAAAAAAATAGGTACTTTGCGGCCGCTACTCGAGAAAATACTGAAATATCGGTAGGAATGTATTTGTTAGAAAGAATTTATTTTTTTAAAAATGATTCTATTTTCTTATAGTTTAAAATATATGTATTTTCATTACTATTAAATCGTTTTTGTTCTTACCCAGGTCGGTACATTTTTAGTTTGCAATATATTTTATTAAAATGGCTATATTTAAAGATTATCACCAATTTTCTTCATGGTATTTTTTTATTATTCACTTATTGCATTTTTTTTATTTTTATGAGACCTGTCATTAAGAAACACCAATTTTGTCTCTAGGTTTTCTGTATTTACTCTTTTAAACATATTGCTGTGATATTGTTCCTAGAAAATAAAAATAATTTGTTATTGAATAGAACCTCGTCCAAGTTATATTTCTATTGTAAAACTATTCTTTACACAAGTGTCAATGTCTGATAACACAGCTTTTGTATTATATCTATATACTCTTTAAGTACTTTGTTTATTTCATTCAATATAATTTTTAGCTTTAGCTACGTATTTTATTTTACAAGAATTCTTTTTCATTTCTAAAAGAAGACCACTGAAAACAGCCCACCCGGTATTTGGCAGTAAATAGAAGAAAAAGTGTTGATACCTGGGCAAGCCGTAACTTGTTTACTTTCAATTTATTTTTTTACGTTTATTTTTATTTAATAATATACCTAATAATAATAATACTCTCCCTAATTCACCCCCTTAAGTGTATCTTCAGCCAAATTTTTCAAAGATTCTGGAAAAAATAATTAAAAAGAGAAAATGCAGTTTTCTAAATAATTTCAAAATTCTATTGAATAATCAATATGGATTTAAAAAGGGAAGATCTACTGATGATGCTATCTATAAATTAACCATAGGAGCGAAATATGTAATACCAAAGGTAAACATTTATTTAAAATTATAGGCAAAATTCCAGTCAAACCTTGGTTTTGCAAAATCAACGTGAATATACCAATTACCTCTACCATTTGCAGGATGAGAATGGGACATTGTAATACACCAGAACATCTATTTCGAATTGGAGTAAAACAGTCCCCCCTGTGTGAATGTGGTGAAGTAGGCAGCTTACAACACATATTAGAATAATAAATAATTATTAATAACAATACTACATCTTGCAGTTGGTATTTTTGCATCATCTATTTTAATTTTTAGCTTTATCTTTATGTAATACTAGCTGTTGCCCGCGGCTTTGCTCACATGTAGTCGTGTTATTAATATAAAAAAATACATGACTTCCTTTTTTATCAATTTTTATTAGTTCTATTCATTTTTAATAATTTCTATTAATTTTTAATAATTTTTATTAGTTTTTATTATTTGTTATTAAGTTTTATTAATTGTTATTAATTTTTATTAATTAATTTTATTAATTTTTAATAAATATTTTTTTTAAATTTTAGTTTATTTTTATAATACTACCATACAAAAATCTAAAAACCCTAGAGCACTTCATTATTTATGCTACAATTATAATTTTCAAGTTCCAACATCCAAAAATTTATACTTCCATACAAATTTTCACCCTCGTTTTCCCCCCTTAAAATGTGAAAATCCAAAAACCATTAAACACGTAATTTTTGATTTTTAGTCAGTAGCTGTAATTCAAATTTTTGTTTCAAACTTTAAATAACAAAACATATACATACTATTAAACAAATTTTCACCCCCCCCATTTTCCCCCTTAAAATGTTTAAATGCAAAAACCCTGAAACACTTCATTATTTATTTATGATGAGAACCTATAATTACAATTTTCAAGTTCCTACCTTTAAAAAAATCGATATTTCCAAATAAACTTTCATACCCCGTTTCCCCCCCTTAAAATGTGAAAATCCAAAAACCCTAAAACATGTCATTATTAATTTTTACTCAGCTGCAATTCCAATTTTCATGTTTCTAACTTTAAAGAGAACAAAAAATATATACTCCCATACAAACTCTCACGCCCCGTTTGCCCCCCTCTCGTTATAAAAACCTTAAAACACATTATTATTAATTTGTACTCAGTAGCTGCAATTCCAAATTTCCTGTTTTTAACTTTAAAAAGAACCAAAAACATGAATACTCCCAAATAAACTTTTACCCCCATTTCCCCCCTTAAAATGTGAAAATCCAAAAACCCTGAAACATGTCATTAATAATTTGTAGTCAGTAGCTGTAATTCCAATTTTCATGTTTCTAACTTCATAGAGAACAAAAAAAATCGATCGTCCCATACAAACTTTCACCCTTGTTTTCCCTCCTTAAAATGGGAAAATCCAGAAACCCTGAAACACGTCATTATTTTTTTATGCTTAGCTGTAATTTAAATTTTCATATTTCTAACTTTAAATAACAAAGAGTTTCATTTAAAAGCTCCCTCCCTCTTTTCCTCCCATTTCCCCCCTTTAAAGTTAAAATTTCCAAAAATCCTTTCTTAGCGGATGCTTAGGTACGTTATAAAATAAACCTGTTCCAAATTTCAGCTTTCTAGGCTCAGTAGTTTGGGCTGTACGCTGATAGGTCAGTTAGTCAGGACAAACAATTTTATACATATATAGATTTAGTACAACACAATACACTTTGTATATTGTCCCTAGTACAAATAAAAGAATTTGAATGTAGAAATGACTATCAGCGTAGAAATAGATTTTACTTTGATATGCTAGCATGCTTGCATCCAACAATAACAGCTTTAAATGTATATAACATGCAAGTTTTATTCTAGCAAATCTGAAAAGGGTGATGACAGCAAGTCAGACGCGTCGCGACGCAACTCTTTACAGTAAACAAAAACCAAAGAAAAACATATTCTGGGTAAATAATCCGCAAGGATTGAGCCCATACAAAACTAAAGAAGAAGAAGAACCTCAACCATATATGATGCGTTAGATAAAAAGACATCTATACTTAGTATATTTCTCGACCTATCAAAAGCCTTTGATACTGTTTGTCATAAAAAATTGTTGGAAAAATATGGAATTCGTGGAAAAGCATTCAGTATCTTTGAAAGTTATTTATCAAATAGAGAAACAGTTGGTGCAAATTGACATTGTTAATAGTAACAAACAGATCGTAACCTTTGGTGTCCCACAAGGTACTGTTTTGGGACCTGTTCTTGTTGCACTCTACATACACTTATTAGTTTTGCTGGTGATACTGCTGTTCTGTACTCTTCATCTTCCTGGAAGGAACTGAAACGTAAAGTAGAAAGTGATTTTCCTAAAATATCGAAATAAATTAACATTAAATTATCAGAAAACTAGATACTTACCATTTTCTTCTTATGCAACAGATCTTCCCATATTGGATCCATTAAATGTAGGATTAAATAATGAAGTTTGTGAATCTACATCAATTAAATATTTAGGGACTATTGTGGACTGGCATATGAAATGGGACTTCCATTTAAAACAACTCATAAAAAAGTTGAGAGGGTTTTTACCAAAATTTAGATATATATGTGCTTGAGGTCTCTTTATTTTTCTTTAATACAATCCTTGTTAGTATACGGCATCACTGGTTGGGGAGGTGTGTATGCTAGCACATTGAAAGATGTTCATGTAATACAAAAATGGATTTTAAGAATAATTTACAAAAAAAAATTTTATACCCTAGTAACGCACTTTACGATGATTCTAATATATATGATATGAGACAGCTATACTTTTTACAAATTCTATTATTTTTCAAAAAATCTAAAATTACGTTAAAACCTCATGACCATCCCTACAATACATGTCGACCTGAAGCTATTTTATTTCCAGGATTAGAAAAAAGTTTCGGCCAAAGATGTAGTGATTACCTGGCTCCTAGAATCTTTATTTTGGTACCTCAAGAAATAAAGGACATTCCGTTGTACAGTAAATACAAAAATAGACTAAAAATCTGGCTTCAAACAGAACGTAAATTAGCAAGTGATGTTATAAATCAGTCTTAAAAATGTATTTGCCTAAATCTTTTTTCCTATTTCGAGACTACCTATACACAAAAATATGTAAAAAAAAAAACAATTTTTTTTATTTCTATATTTCCATTTATATTTTTATTTGTGTACTAATTTATAGATCTATTATATATTTTATAATTTTTTAAGATTTTTCTAAATGTCCCCTATTGTTTATTCTCTTTTTTTTTAATTGTATTTATATTGATGTATCATTATTTGAATAAACATTATTATTATTATTTGACTTATAGGTGAGGAAACCCCCATCCACCATCATCCAAAACGGTAACGCATGGCGATTTTTAAAATCTGGATGTCATATCAACAGAAATTAAATTTCTGCTAATACGGCATCCATCAAAATCTATAGTCCATTTAAAATAACGGTAAAAGTTCGAGAAATGCCGCACTTGACGAGACCACTTGTCCCCTACATATTTTGGGACACTGATTACGAAAATGAGGGTTAAAACTGGCAGCAATGGTTGGAACACCTCTAAAATTGCAAGTGTTTTTCGACTGTACTTGTTGTTTTGCAAACTAAGCCATCTTTATATGTTTTTTGGGGCGCTGATTACGAAAATCGGGGTTAAGACTAGTTCCCTATCAATTTGTGAGAGAAGAGCCATACATTCATCAAAATTTTGGTGAATAATATTAAATGTAGTTTCATCTCCATTTATGTTTTGTATGTCATTAATTCTCTCTAGTTCTAGACATCATTCATAGACATCATAATTAACATCTCTAATGAATTGATCCATTTATTAAATATATAGCTATGAGCTACTTTAATGAGTACTTAAAAATGAGAGTTTACCTAATGATCCAAAACGTATTTTCTTAAACAGCAGAAGAAGAAAAACAAAATATTTCTGTGAACATAAATTTTTGCATACAAAATATTAAATATTAAAGAATAAAATTAAATTTTTATTGTTAGGAATGTAGAGATTATAAAATTATCTCAAACTTTTCAAAATCAGGCAAAAAATAAGAGCTGGACAGATTCTATGCACACTAGTGAGTTGGTAACTCTAAATAATATGACTGTAGCAAAAATGTAGTTGATCAGGACCAAGATAGATCAGAAATAAAACTCCACTGTAAGCGTGCGAGTAACCTGTATACAGGGTGCTCCATAAGTGTGATACGTTTTTTTATTAATCACCTTATAGTTTATTTTATATTTTGTTAGTTTTTGACGATTTTTAAATTTTAGGGGTAAAAAATTTATTTCAGATAATAATTAATAGAAAATAGGATAAAACACCTAACTGTTGGCACCTAAGCCTTTTTTATCAATACCTAGTTCAAATTCAAGTAATTTATATCTGTTCCTTCTTATCCTCAACTCTAATCACAAACTATAAGTATTTTAGTTGCACTCGAAAAAAGTGTACACTAGCAAACATGTGTGACATAACACGCTTCAAGACAAGAGGTAAAAAGTAGTACCATTACCCCTAAATAGGGGTGTTTTTTGCAATTTTATGGGTGTTCCAACCATTGCTGCCAGTTTAAACCCTCATTTTCGTAATCAGCGCCCCAAAATATGTAGGGAACAAGTGGTCTCGTCAAGTGCGGCGTTTCTCGGCCTTGTACCGTTATTTTAAATGGACGACTATAGAGAACCATGCAAATAAATTCACATATACTTCTGTAGGATTCGAAGCCCGGTGTGTCTAGTGAAGACGCACGGGTCCACACAGTTGGTTCTTTATTGTTCTGGAGGCGAACATAGTGAAAAGTGTGTTCGTTCACCTTTGGAAATGGAGGCAAGCAGATAGGTGTGGTTTGTTTCCTTGATGGCTGAGGGTGCTGGAACACGCGAAACTCATCCTCGCATGTCTGCAGTGTATGACGAATACTGCATGTCCCTGACAAATATACAAGATGAGTGACATAAAAGACTCCGGGAATGCTTATTAAATCAAATGAGTGATTAACATTTCTGGATTAAATCCAAACTGTCATTAAAAAAATAAGAATCATTGTGGTTTTTCTATGGGCTAATTTTAAAAAAAAAATTTTGGGAATCACTTTATATTATTTTCATTAAAATAGGACTACAAAGTTTGTCTTAAAAAGCCTGCACCAACTAACACAAAATTGTCAATTTTAGAGAAATCATGTATAAAACCAAAATTATATTACAAACAATTTTTATTTAAAGAATGTTCTTTATAATTATAAATTATATTCTTTAAAATAAAAAAAGACATTCTATATATAAGTACCCCCTCCCCCAATACTTCGACTATGCCCAAAATTTAATCGAATTTTACTGCAGGAAGGATTAAAGCATAATTTTAAAATTTAGTGATTTTTTCTTGAACCGTTTTTGAGTTATTTTCTTAATTCGCATTTTTTCTCATATCTCTAATACGGTCCATTTTAGGAAAATTATGTATAGAACAAAAATTATAGAGATTGACATCACAAGCAACTTTTATTTGAAGAATTTTTTTCTCCAAGAGTAAAACAGATATATTCCATAAAATAGAAAAACGACCCCCTATAAAATGTTCCGAATATACTCAAAATCTAATGAACTCACCGCAGATAGAAGCTTAAATTTAAAATTTAGTGTTCCTCCCTTTATCTGTTTTGGAGATATATTCGAAATTTGCCTTTTTTCTCAAATATCTCGAATACGATCCGTTTTAGGAAAATCATGTATAGGACAAAAATTATAGAGAATGACATTACAAACAACTTTCATTTGAAGAATTTTATTCTCCAAGCGTAAATAACAAAGAAGAAAAAAGTACCTTCCCAGATGTTCCGACTATGCCCAAAATATGATCAACTCACCGTAAAGATGGATTAAAGCTTAAGTTTAAAAATTGGTGTCTTTCTTTTTATTCCGTTTGAGTTATCGAGTATATAGGCACACGACATCATCGCGAAAATAGACAAAACGGATTCACGGGACCTCAAAACGTAAAATCCATCGAAAACTCGGGGTCGAAAAAATAATATTCCTATACTTTCTTTATTATTGTATACAGATGACAGGAAAGTAAAAATTAGTGAATAATTTTACTCTGTTGCAAATTTATATTTTTTACATCCCTCGTAGTTCATATTTTAAGCATGCACCAATTTTTATCAAGATTTTTTTCTAAAAAATCAATAATATATAGTTTTCTCTTTGGTGCCGATTTTTTGCGACACACTGTATGTATTATATCCCTGTATAACAGATTTAGGAACCACAAAAAAAATTATTTAACCTCACTATGTATGTATTTATTTATATTATGTATTTATATTTCTTTTTTCTTTCTGTTCTCTTCGATTAAAAAATATAAATTATATTAAAGCGTCATCTTTTATCAAGTAGAAGAGTAATTTTAGATAATTTCAAGTTTAAACTTTGACCGGCTATACGAGTATGTTCATTTGTATTGGGTCTGGTTTAAACTGGACTAAAGATTTGAACATAATATTATTTTAGCGATCAACGCAACTAAATTTAACTAATTTTTATTAATATATATTAACAATAAATATATTACACTCATCAAAACTATGTAATCGAAGCAAATAATAAGAAAATTATCAATTACATTGGTATTCAGATAACTTCCAAAACGCACCTAACCGACGTAAAAGCAATGTTCGCTTGTCTGACCTGTTCATAATTTCGTCGCCTTATTCTTTTTACTATGTTGCCAAGATTCAAAACAAGAGAGATGAATGATCCCTTTGGTATGTTTTTGGTTAGGTCTAATCGAAAGTGGCTCCACCAATAAAATCTCGAGATTAACGGTTGCTATGGTTACATAATAACAAATTTTAACCAATTCACTGAATGAAATGTATCATGTGACTACGTTGTGAAATTTTATTGGCAAATCAGAGTATTTTTAAATTTTCCGCCAATTTCAGGATACATGTGAAACTACAATAATGAAGTCTGGCAACGTCGAGTTCATTGTAGTAACATAAGCTTGTTAATAAATGAGTAATTGTTAATATTCCGTACTTTAAAGTGTTTTTTATTAGTTCTTTTTAAATAATTTAGTTTATAGAATTTTAAACGTATTGTCAGTAAAAGAAAGTGTAATTGCACAGAACTACTCCGAATTGTAAAGCCGCACACCACACAAGTCATCACGCCATTTTGCCGTTTGTCGATGTGTATCCTGTTATAATTTTCTTACGACAGCTTAGTGTATCATTGTGTTGTACTTATGAAATGAAAAATACATTTTTCAGGTGATTAGTGAATTGTGCAAAAGTTTTTTTCCGCTCCGATATAATATTTGACTTTTAAGAACCTATCAAAGGTTCAGGTAGGTGCTTTCAATAATAGGTACACATTTAAGTGAATTTTTACAAATCGTTCCATATTTCGGGTATTTTTCAAATCGAATGTTTTGTATTCAATTTTGCAGACTCCGTACTCATTAAACGTTTGGGATTATCTAAATTTGGTGAGAAAAATCTACACCATGAACCCAAGTGGTTTTTAATCACCTAGATATTATGGCTCAATCCCAATACTATGAAATATTAAAGGAAAGTGACAAAAACGCAGAACCACGATATTTTACTAATGTAGAAGACCAGACTGTGCAGTATGTGATTACTCCTGATACCACACAAGTTCAGTTTCCAACCCAACAGGTAAGCTGAGTTAAAGGTCAATATTGTTTGAAAGATAGCCCTACTTTTATTGCATTGTATAGTTTCGGTTTTTTTTATTATGTAATGTCTAACTTTAAAACATAAAAGTTACAAATTTGATTAAAGAGATGTAATATTTTATGATAAACTGGGATATTTTGATGCATAGATAACTCAAGAGCAAGTTCTTCAAGCTCAAATCGTTCAACAACCAATTATCCAGCAGCCTATTCAGCTACAACCTTCTCAATTTGCTGTAATCAAAGATGGTACTCTTAGACAGGAAGGCCAACAAATATTTTTTTTAGAGAACGGTGTAACTGATGGTATCATTATTGAAAACAAAATTCAACAAACTGAAATCTCTCAACCTATTGTATTAAATCATCAGATAGCTAGTACTGTGGTGAGAGGTCCTATTATGAAGACCGGACTCAATCAACATGTTTCTTTGGAAATGATACAGGTAATTTATTTTTGGGAAAGCATCAATTCCATTACTTGATTAATGGTCTTTATTTGTCAACAATTTGTAGTTATGTGTTAGAATTGTTAATATCTTTCATATATTATAATGGATAATAGTAGAGCTTGTGAATTTTGTTTAAGTACAATGCAATAATTGTTTTTATTTTGATGGTTCTAAGGTGCATATGTGTAAATCCCTTCGAGCTCGAGCTAAAAACTGACAATAAAAATCATTCACCCTATAAATATGAACTAGACTTGCTGGCTCAGCTCAGGTGCAGTTCGCTATATCTATATGCACCTTTAGGATATTATTGTCAAAACAATGAACATGACATTTGGTCAGTTTCAAAATATTTTATATAAGAATTAAGGAGCGATGCACTAAAAAATTTTTCTTGAAAAAATTCACATATATGTCAGTTTGGATAAAATTTTTTGTGGATCACTATTAAACACATGACTTTCCTATCTAGTTATTATAGGCTTTTTCCAGTTATTTTGTACAACCTATTGTAGCACCTCTATAAATGTTTAGAGGATAAACTAAATATATACATTTTCCACATACATCTACCTTGAAACATTTTTTTATATTCATTGAAAATGAAAATACTGAAAAATTTAAATTTAGCACTTTTCCTACAATTTTTCCATTATGGTCCATTTTAGAAAAATCATGTATAAACAAAAATTATAGATATCGATATCGCAAACAACTTTTAGTTCAACAATTTTCATAAAAATCAGAATTTTGCACATTTTGTCAAATTTCTCGAATACGGACCATTTCAGGAAATTTTGACATAAAGCAAAAATTATAGATAATAATATTAGAGGTAACTTTTATTTGAACAATTTTCTTTTCCAAACATAAATAACAGATATATTCTATAAAATATAAAAAAGGCCTCCCATAAAGTACCCCATCAGATGTTCCGATTTTGTCCAAAATCTAATCATTTCACGTCAGGCCGAAATAAAACTTAAGTTTAAAATTTAATGTTTTTTCTTTATCCGTTTTTGAGTTTTCTTCAAAATTCGAAATTTACACATTTTCTCAAATATCTCGAATACGGTTCATTTTAGAGAAATTTTGTATAGAACAAAAATTATAGATAATAATATTGTAAGTAACTTTTATTTGAAGAATTTTCTTCTCCAAACGTAAATAACAGATATATTCCATAAAATATAAAAATGACCACTTATAAAGTACCCCCCAGATGTTCCGACTCTGCCCAAAATCTAATCAGTTCATTGAACGCTGAAACAAAGCTTATATCTGTATACAGATAGGAAAGTAAAAAGGAAGAGGTTCTCAATAATTGGCACTTGGGGGGGAGGGGGATTAAGGGGTATATGTCCTAAATCAAAAATTATGGAAACTAAGTTTAAAGTTTTAATATTTGCATTTGAATAACGGTTTTTTTAAACACCCAAATTTTGTAAGGTTTAAATTACTTACATCCCTTTTTCCCATTACTTATATCCCTTTTCCCAGCAGTACAAAATGAGTTTAGAAGAATCGTGGCAGATTTAACTCAATTTTGAATATTTTCGACTTTTTCCCTTTTCATAGTCCCTAGTCATAGAATTGTTAATGTTGAAACTTTTTCATGAAACTTGGTACAGATATATTTCAGAAGACGCCGATTCCAGTGGCGTACGCGAAGTTTTTCTGAAAAAATCACTATAATATGGATTCTGGATTTTCAGCCTCTAAATTTGATCTAGTAGGCCTTGTCTTCAAAATACACCTTTTCTCCTCTACATTTCAAAAAAAAATTGTCAGTCGCTCTATAAATAAATACTTTATGAGGGTGGCCCTCTTTCAAATTGATCACTCTGTAGATGACAAATTTTTGAAATTATGGTGATTTTCTAATCAGCCTTTAACAATTTTGTATTTTAACAATCTACATGCTACAAATTTTCCAAATTGTTTGCCAGGAGCTTTCTCTGTCTTTCATTTTTTTCTAAAATTTATTAAACTTGGGGTGGGTTGTACAATGGGCAGTTAAAATGTAAATCTAGTTTAAACTGTGAACCTTGTTGTTATTGTTAGACATAGTTTTAAAGATAACATTTCTACTTTGAATATGAACAGTTAAAAATTAAACTACTGTTAGTTAAATTTGAGTTTGCAGCATTCTTTGTACAATCGTCCTTATTGGGGTCATTTGCTTTACTAGTCATTAAGAAATAAGCAAAGCCTAAACAGAAATTGTTCCATTAATAGTGTCATTTTAAGCTTTGCTTATTTATTATTGTCACTTGTTAGAGAATTTGGAAAATTGGTTTTAAAATTCTTTATTAAAAAGCAGTTGCATTTACATTACATAAGTAAATAATTCTAAAAAGAATGGACCTAAAATAACAGAATTAGCTCTTTTATTTTTGGTTGAATTTTTCAGTAATGTTGATATTTAATTACATTGATGTGAATAATTCTTGATGCGAAACAAGGCAGCAGTGCAGTTTCAGTTGAAACTTATTTCATATTTTTAGGCTACTGTATACCATATTTAAAAAATGCATGCTCTTCATTTTTTTTTTTTTTTTTATAAAAATCAAGGTGCTCTGTTAGCTTTGGGCGATATCAGTAGAGCACCTTGGTTTTCTTTGTTATTAAGTTTTCTTAATTTTTTTTACACTTTAGTAGAAACTTTGTACTTAAATGAGAACATTTTTTAAATATATGTAGTTTCATTACCTAAAATTTAATTATATCCTTAAATTTATTTATTTAAATTTTTTAATATTTTTTTAAATATTTAATAATTCGATGTTAACTGTAGTAAAATTGCAATTTCTGTAACTGTAATACATGCAAAAATAGTTCAATGGAATAGCAGTTGTTTGTTTTTAGAAAAAAATATTATCAAAATGGGTTTCATTTGAAAAAATGCAAAACAAACAGTATTTTTCTAAAAATATATCATTTTTTGAAAGTTTTATATTTCGAGAGCCTACAAATGTGACATACTTGCTTCTAGAAAAAATATTCAATAATAAAACAAAAAACTACTGGATTATTTCAATATTAGAAAAGCACCCTATAAATACCATTTTTTTTTTTACATAGATGCTTTGGTTGTAGAGTTTCAAGATATGTTTTGAAAATGCACCATTATTATATGTTAATATATTGCACAATCAAGAATGTTGACTACTTTTTATTTAAAAGTACCAACTGTAAATGAAAATTATTGTTTCAGAAAAATCCTCAACAACAAAAAATAATGCAGAGAACCCCAAATTCAACCCAACAGCAAATTCGACAAATATCTCCAGCAATAAGTCAAATAAGACAACAAGTCAACACGGCAATGAAAGCCCCTAATCAAATGCATACTCAAAATCCCAACCAACAACATCAAGTCAGGCTTCAACATCAACAAGGTAGACAAAATTTAATGAGAACTACACCACAACAACAATTCAGACCTTTGCAACATAATGTTGCTATAAGACAAAATGATCCTAACCAAATTAGACAGAACCTGAGACCAAGTCAGTCCCCACATCAGCGACCCAATCAAATGATGAGAACTCCTGGATTAGCTGCTCCAAGAGCACAAACATTGGCCGCTTCACATCAACAACAGCATCCATTACAGAAATTTAGTAATCAGGGAAATAGCATCAACAATACTGAAATGGTAAATAATATTATACCTTATTATTTGTATATTTGTTTTAATTTTGAGTTGCTACAATTTTTTTATAATTAGTAAAGCAGATAGATAAATATAGAAAAGAACGGTATAGAAACTCAATGCTATTGAGTGAAGAGAAATAGAATAATAAGTCGCTCAGTGTTGACCACAATATATATACATAATTTATTTAGTCGCAAACTAATTATTTAGATACAGGAGTATTTTTATTAGGTAAATCAAATATATGTCTTTAAGTTTTAAATTATTCAATAAATGAAAAATTTCAAATTTTGTTACAATAGAATTATTGTAAGCAAGAAAATTTAGGCCTGTCCTGCCAATCAGTAATAAACACTATACTTTTAACATAAAAAACTTATTTAAAATATCAGGGATTTCCATGGGATCATTATAAAATTCATTATCATTAATTTGAAGCTATAGAATATTATTTTCTTTTGGAATGATTTTTTTTAGTGTCTTCCACATCTCATTGGAGTTCCCTTTATTGTAATCTATCATTTGCTCATAGTATTTTCGTTTTTCAGCTCTTATTACTTTAACAACATTATTTCTAGTTTGTTTATAAAATTCCCAATTGTTATCAGTTTTTGTATCTCGTATCTCATGCTTACCATTGAAACGGTGTGGTTAAACCAGTTACTCTCTTTGGTCATCTCATGTTCAAATATAATTAAGGGTTTCATCTTTATTTAGCCTGATACATCAGTTAACGTACTGCATATTTAATAATTAAGAAAAATTGCTTAAGAAAGAGTACCTGTTTGCATTTTTCGAGTTTTAGTATGAATTTTGAAATATAAAAAAATGCTATTTTAATTGATATTATCTAATTTATTTTGAATGCGATTCAATAACAAAGGTACATATTTTAGAAAAGTGCTGATCAGGAAACTGTTGCATTACCTGATGGCGCAGTAGTAACAATGGCTGCATACAACAATATGTTAAGAGATCAGAAACCAAGAACTGTTCCAAAAAAGTAAGTAATCTCCTAATTATTTCTCTTAAGATAAAGCCATGGATATATTCACTGAATTTTAAACTCTGATATGTATTAGTCACTGGATAGGATCTAGGCTATATTTGATATAAAAATGTTTGCCAACAAAGACATTTTACTTTAAGACTAATTCTTCTTTGTTTACAGAAAACCATTTAAATTTTGAAAAATTAAGTGATAAATAAGATTATGTTAAACGACATCTAATTTTCCATATTGTTTTTCCAAAACTACAGTTTTTTTTTTTCTTTGGCTATGTTTTATCCAGTGAATATTACAAATAATATTTTATATATCCTTTTTTTTTAATTAGTTGTCAAAGATAAAAGTTATGTAACGAATGTTTTAAAATTTTAAAGTTAAAAATACTTTAAATATCATTTGTTGTTCTATAGAACAAGCCCAGTTAGGCAGTCTAATCAAATGCAGCAGAATATTCAAATGCAACAAGGCAATGCAAATCAACATCAAAATAGTTCCATGCAACAACATAACCAGACTGCAAATACAACAATACAGCAACCAGTTAATCCTTTAACACTTCCAAATATTCGTCCTGTTCCGAAAAAGAAACCTGCAGCGAACCGTAATTCAAAATCTCCACCTAAATCTGGACCTAGAGCGCAACCTCGTCCTAGAGCTCCAACAAATATTAATCAACAACAGAGTACTCCTGGTCATTTTTCTATGATAAACCAACAACAAGGTACTAAGGTGCAGCAACCACAGCAGTTTCAAAACCAGGTAACTTTTTTTATTAATGTTTAACCAACCATTTCGATAATGTTATAAAAATACATACAAATATTTTATTCTTTGAATTTCACTTGTCAGAAGTCTTTGAAATACTGTTTGGGATGTTACTTTTTTTTTACTAATTTATTGAGACTTTGCAACATCTAAATTAGCACATCTTCAACAACTTTTGTTATTACTGTGTGCTTTTCAGAGCTTTTTCCTTTTTATAATTTTGAATAAGTATTTGTTTATGACGACAAAAAAGAATCGTATTCCATTTATTCACTTGGACAATCTTCCTCAAATTGTCGAATACAATTTCGAATTAAATGTGACCATATTTTAACGTCCATTTGGAAAATAAGCCATTAACCCAACTGCAGGCAAAATTTTGCATTGTTGAACACTCTGGAGACAAAAATTTCGCAAAATTCACTAAAGAAATTTTACATAATTAGTTGAATTTTGAGTCAATTTAAATAAATCTCAATAAACGTGATTGTAATAATTAAAAATCATAAATATTTTATGCAGTGGCATACTAATTTTTTTTTGAGAAGGGCAATATATTTTTTTGAAAAGGGCAATAATTTTTTTTGAAATAATTTGTTTTACTTTTTCGTATAGGATAAAAAAATACCGTACGGTATGTATGAAAAAAGGCTTACAAAGTTGATGTAATTTTATTCAGAGGCGTACAGAAAATATTTAGACTGATTTTTTTGCAATAAACTATCTACAAAGATTTTGAAGAGATTTATTTAGAAGTATTTCAAAATATATTGCAAAAATTAAAAAAAAAAAACATTTTTGTGCAGTGTCGTATGAAATATATTTGAGACGGACACTAACTTTTTGAAATAATTTTATCTTATTTTTTTTTATGTTTATGATAAACACTTGACAGTATGTATAAAAAAGATTTATAAAGTTATTGTAATTTTCTTCAGTGGCGTACGAAAAATATTTAGATTGATTTTTTGCAATAAACTATGCAAAGTTTTTGATTAGAATTAATTCAAAATATATTGCAAAAATTTAGAAAAAAAAAATTTTGTGCAGTGTCGTACGAAATATATTTGAGACGGACACTACCTTTTTTTTTTTTTTTTTTTTTTTTTGAAATAACAATTTTATCTTTTTTTCCGTTTATGATAAACATCTTACAGTAGGTATAAATAAGGTTTATAAAGTTATTGTAATTTTCTTCAGAGGCATACGGAAAATATTAAATTGATTGTAATAAACTATCCACAAAGTTTTTAAATAGAATTATTTAGAAGTAATTCAAAATATATTGCAAACATTTTGAAAAAAAAAAAATTTTTGTGCAGTGTCGTACGAAATATATTTGGGACGGACACTACCTTTTTTTTTTAAATAACTTTTATCTTATTTTTTCCGTTTATGATAAACAAACATCTTACAGTTGGTATAAGAAAAGTTATTGTAATTTTCTTCAGAGGCGTACGGAAAATATTTAGATTAATTTTTTGCAATAAACTATCCATAAAATTTTTGAAGAGAATTATTTAGAAATAATTCAAAATATATTATAAAAATAAAAAATCACATTTTTGTGCAGTGCTGTACAAAATATATTTGAGAGGTGCCTAGGTACACAAATTTTTTTTGAAATAACAATTTTATCTCATTTTTTCGTTTATGATAAAAAACACCTTATTGTATTTTTGTTATTACTAAAAACAATGTTTACTTATATTGTTCATTTATGAAAAAAACATTTTACGAAATATAAAGAAATTAATTGCTAACTCAAGAAGTTTTTTCAATGCAAAAAGCTATTGAATACATTTTTTTGAAAGAATTGGATCATAAATAGGGGTAAATAAATGAACTTTTATTTAAGTAAAATAAAATATAAGGATTTATTGTAAAAATCTGATGTGTCCAACACATGACTTTCTTATCTAGTTAATACAGGCTTTTTTTTGTACAACCTATTGTAGCACCTCTGTAGAGGTTTACTAACTGTTAACTAAATTATAGCAAATACTATTTGAAGTAACTTTTATTTAAACAATTTTCTTCTCCAAATATAAATAACAGATATAGTCCATAAAATATATAAACGACCCCTTATAAAGTACCCCCAGATGTTCGGACTCTACCCAAAATCTAATCAGTTCACCTAACGCGGGAATAAATCTTCAAGTTTAAAATTTAATGTTTTTTGCTTAATTTGTTTTTGAGTTTTCTTCAAAATTTGAATAATACACTTTTTCTCAAATATCTCGAATACGGTCCATTTTAGAGAAATTATGTATAAGACAAGTATTATAGAGAATTATATCACAGACAAATTTTATTTGAACAATTTTCATAAAAATTTGAATTTTTTTTATTTTGTCTTTCTCTAATACAAATCATTTTAGGAAAATTTTGTATGAAACAAAAATTATAGAGAATAATATTAGAAATAATTTTTACTTGAGGAATTTTCTTCTCCAAATGTAAAAAATAACATTCCATAAAATATAAAAATAACCGCTTATAAAGTACCCCCCCCCCATAGAATAAAAATAATTCTTTGTTTCATTCACAATAACATCTATAAGTTCGTTATTGAAAAATTTTACGAAATATTCTTATTCTTCAGCTTCTTCGTGAATGTCAAAATTTTCTGTTATTTCTGAATTTTCATTAACAAAGTTGTATATTTTAGACTGGAAGTCATTACAGTCTCTTCAAACTAAATCACCAGCAACCGTTTCATTTTCACTGTCACTCTTTTTTACTTGAATTGTCACTTTTATTTTCACTTTAAATAGATAAGAAAATCCTTAAATCGTTAAAAGCAATTACTGTTAGATGCAGTTACTTCAATAAAAATATGAACCTGAACAAAAATTTAATTATTTCAGATTCCTTCAACAGTGTCTGTGATGCAACAACAAAATCATCAGCAAACCCAAATTCAACAGCAGCAACAACAACAAGCGCAGTTACAACAGCAACAACAACAAGCACAGTTACAACAACAGCAATTACAACAGAGGATTCAGTTACAACAACAACAGATCAAACAACAACAAATGCAACACCAGCAAACTCCAAATAAACAACCAACTCCAAATCAACAGCAAACTCCAATTCAACAACAAACTCCAATTCAACAACAAACCCCAATTCAACAACAAACCCCAATTCAACAACAAGTCAAAGGCAAGCCGCCATCGCAAGCGCAGTTTGTCATCCAACCTCCAAAGCCCAATCAAAAACCTTCACAACAGAGGCCATTGCCTGCCTATATACCTTCTAGTCAGATTCAAAAAATAATAGAGAGTACACCAGTAAGTGAAGAATTCTCAGATTCTATAAGGATGTTGGTACTATTAGAAAATGGCGAGCAAAGGTTGATAACTTTTACTTTACCCAAAGAAGCCTGCACTATTCAAGAAATTTTGGAACAAGTCAATGTACCATTCCAAACAGATACTAACATTCAAGTCATAGAGACGAATTCTGATGGAATAAATTATATAGTGACAGTTGGAAATATACCCAGTATAGGTGTACCAGTAAGTTTATTTTAGTTTTTTTGTGTACATTCAATTTTTAATAAGACGTTTTACTATCAACAGGATGATGAGCCTCCACCACTTGTCAAATCAGGAGATCCACCAAAACCAGTAACTCAACCTATTCAACAACCCCCTGTGCCTGCATTACTTCAACAATCTACCAAAACTGTGGGACCTAATCAAACAGCTCAGATCAGCCAAGCAGGTCAGATTAGCCAATCAGGACAACTTAGCCAAGCAGGTCAAATTAATCAAGCAGGTCAAATTAGCCAAGCAGGTGAGATTAGACAACCTCCAGTTCAACAGAAGACACCTGAACCTCCTAAAAGTCCATCCCCTGAACCGGCAAAGGAAATACCTAAATTTGTGCCAGGTACTGTACAGTTTCCTAAAATATTTATTTATACAGGGTGTATAGATTTTAACTAATTAATAAGAAAAGATTTACATAATTTTCTAAATATCTTCCCTTGGGGTAAAGATTTTAACTTAAAAATGTGTTCATGTTAGTTTGCAATATGAAATCAAACATCAATTGGCGCATAGTTGTTTAAATTACCCAAAAAAAAAACCTTTATATCAAAATCAATAATAAAATGGTTTATTTTCAAGTTTTTCTAAAACAATTGTCATCTTTATACAAAGTGTTTCAGAATAAAATACCATAGATTTTAATTAATATATGTCTCTAATTCATTTACAGTACATCATTTTAAAAATACCAATACAACTAATATTACATAAATACTAAATAAAACACTTATGTAGCCAGAAAATATTCCCTCAATTTGTACTTAAAAATATATTGAGATGCACTCTCTTTTATATCGTTTGGTAGGTTATTATACATAATTATGCCTTTATTAAAAATTGAATTAAATGTACCACTTTTCCTACACGTTTGTATATGAAAGTTTTTTTAATAATACGATTGGAAAAAACGTAGGGCATTTACCTCTGCTTTTCTAAACACTTTAAATAGCTCTTATTAAAGTTGGCAAGGTACTGCATTAGTTATCTGTCAAAATCAGTATTTTTTTTTAATCTTTAAATACCAATTATACAGAAACCAACTTTGATATGAGATATTTTAAGTTTTTTAATAAGCAGAGGTAAATGCACTACGACTTTTTTTTATTAATTATAATATTAAAAAAAACTCATATGGTTCCAATTTTATGACACACGTTTTATATGTATATATTTTTTCAAATCGATTAAATAAAGTTTCAAAAATCTGTCACCCTAAGGAAATTTAAATAAACAAAACTTTATTTGAATTGGGAAAAGAATAGTAATTGTTTTGTTTAGGTATGTTAGCTCTTTGTGGCGCCTGCGGGTATTTGTCTGAAGATTTCAACAAGTGCATCAGATGTTCAAGAAAATTACCTGAAAATGTAAAATCAATCCCAGCCAATATGAAGAATGTCCCCGGAAATCCCAAAAGAGACATTGCTACTCTAGCTCAAGCACAACAGATAAAACATCAAACTATGCTACAACAGCAGCAACAGAAAGCTAATGCTGGTAAGTCATATTTTTCAATTAGAATTTAAATAAAAATAATTTGAAATCTACTTCGTCATAAGTTTTATGTACTATTTATTAATAGATTTTTTTCTACAAACTCCTTAAAAAAATAATAAAAACTTTGTATTTTGTAAAAATTTTATGAAAGGTTAGGGATTAAAATAATTACTTTAAATTGATCAAGTTAAAATCTGTTTGATGTTCATTGTTCAAAATTGTTTTTCGATCTATAATTAAAACATTCGATGTTCGGTAATGATAGTATTGGTATGAATTTTAGGCTGAATTAACTGGTTTTTATTTCAAAAAACTTACAACTATTAACATTTATGTAAGTGAATAACAAAATAATATAATGTTATGCTATTGATGCAACGGGCATATCAGTATTATTATCTCTCCTGTTTTTGATCCCTATTTTGAGAACAAAACTCTTGATTTTCTCACTTTCTGTGGTCGCGATTACGTCACGCTCACAAGGGCGGTCTTTGGCCAATATTACGGTTAAGGAAAGTTGACCACTCTACAGTATTCAAAATCAAAATGAAGAATTATGAAAGCCCAGGCTTGTGAGGGTAGGATTGCTAAAATGATCAATACTGTCAGCATAAAACTCAGTCAAAGGAGACAAAGTACAAAACTGACTACAAAAGTTTTGAAAACGATAATACTATTTATATAGCAAAAGAAAATTATGGATTGAGTGTATACAAAAGTTGAATAGTATTTTGGTAGTTGGTGGTAAACATCGAATCCGTGGTACGTTTTCGAGAATTTCGCAGTAATATTTGTCCGCCAGTGTCGTATCGTAAAATAAGTTAGGTTAGAATGTTGATTAATTTTCGACGGTATTATAATTATTGTATAATTAGCCAAAATGTATAAAGGTAAAATAGAATAGAAAATCTTTAATCATAAGTGAAAAGTACTTTATTCAAAACGACAGAGAGTTGTATATAATATATTGCAAAATTACTAAAAATACATAAAATTATTTAGAACTTCAAGGCACCTCTCAAAATTCTTCCCACTAACCTCTAACCTCCATTTCTCTTTTGTTTGTTGGTCTGTTACATTTAAGAATTCTCAGTAGCCCCTATTTAAGAAGACATATGTTAAAAGTGGCCTCTTACTTGGAAGCACATTTATTAAAAGCGGCCTTTTACATAAAATACAGCTAACAAAAAAACTACTACACAAGTATACATAAAGTAAAAGTTAATGGCGTTACAATCAATATAAAATGGTTACAATATGAAATATTCAATAATCATGAGTCTAATTATTGAATTCATATACAGTGTATCCAATTAAGTCGGCAACATATGGGAAACTTTTTTATTGTTAGGTTTATGGAAAAAAGTTATTCTTTATGAAAAGTACTGCATCTTCTAAAACTTAAAATACAACCATCAGATATTATTTTTTTTCGCGCAGTATATGTGGTGCGTCTAAAAATATAAATTTTACTCAAGATTAAAGTACTTTATTTTTAACATACCTTGTATACCACTGATAAAATTTGATATCTGATGATTGTATTTTAGGTTATAATGCATAACTTTTTACGAAAAATAACTTTGTCCTAAAACTAATAATAAAAAGGTTTTCCACATGTTGTCAACTGTCTACAGAAGCAAAAATAGTTTTAAAATGAAGAATAACAAATAGCTATAGTCACTCTCGAAATACTGGTTTTCACTCAAAATCACTACAAATTTCCGAAATCATTGAAAATCATGGTCGAAATTAGGACTGAAATCAATTCGACGCTCAAAAATGTAATTGCAATAACTTGTGGATCAAAATACAAGGGAAGAGCCCAACAAAAATGTAATTGTATATAATTATGGGGGATTTTTCACCTAAACACGGGTACGTTTTGACCTTAGTGGTTTCGCCCTCGGTTTTAACGATTTTCTGTTTAGTGTTTGAGATACAGGATCCAAAATAATAAATTTAATATTCACTTAAAAGTAACTTGTTAAAAAAGTTTATTTGTTTTTATTTTTATAAATAAAATAGTCTCAAAAACAATTAATTTTAAATTAATATATTGTATTACTGTATAGTTTTAAAAAGTATAACACATTATAATGTTTTCAAAGCTCTAAAAATAATTTAATTAATTTTTTAATAAATAATATTTATTATACCAGTTTTAAAATAATTAGGACAAACTAATTATGGATTAAAAAAGTTGTTATGCAATAGATTAAAAATTAGACGATTAAATGAAACATGCTTATGTAAAAAGTTACTCATTTCCGAAATACAGGATGTTAAAGCTGAAAATTAAAAATTTTTTTTAATAGCTATAGTTTTTTTAATACTGAGTATAATTTCGGCAAACGTTTTTAGTGTCATTAGATACACCTATCAGCAAAAAAATCAGTTAAATAAATTGTGCCAGTGGCGTACGGTATGGGTAAGTAACAGCTTCATCCAGAGTGGCCGTTTTCCCTGTAAATAGTTGGTAACAAGTTTTTTTGACCTCGACAGTAGCGCTAAGCGCAATATGATGAACTATAATTCGTACAGTCGGTAAAGTAGAAAGAACACTACTAAGTAAAGCGATTTAAAAAATAGCGGGCTTCAATATTTATGAAATTTGAAGCAATTTTAAGTAACATTTTCCTATTTTACAGCTTTTACTTACAATAATTAAAACGAATAAATTTTTATTGTAAGTAAATGCTGAAAATTGAAAAGTCACTTGCTTTAAATGAAAATTAAAAAACTATTTGTAATAAGTTATTTTAAATATAGAATAGGTGACTATGTTATTACATTATATATTCAACAATATAAATACTATAATCACACACTAAATTATTGAAGCATAAAAATGTAAGATAACAATGTGACAATTATTTCATTATTAACTGGTTACAAATTAAAAAAAAAACAATTATAATTTCAAAAAATTAAAATCAACACAAAACAGTCATATCTATAAATACCACAATTATTGTTTTGAAAATCCCTAGTATTGATTTATTATACAAAATATAGGTAATTTTTCACAGAAAACAAAATAATTAATATTTACAATTAATTGAACACCTATTTATTTAAAAAAATACTATTCTAATTTATATATATTTCGAATGTCTTTAAATTGTTTACTATTTATCTTCACAACTATTTGTATACGACTGACTGCTCCGTGTTCCTTCACCAATATTTTTATACTCATTTAAAATTCTGGTGATGCTCTAGAACGTTCTTGCCAAAACTAGAAACATTATCACGTTCTTTCTGGAAAGTAATCGAAAGCGCCTTCGCCATAGTCGTCACATGTCTTAAGGGGTTTCAATTATGAACGATAATCGGACAAGTTGAGCCTCAAAGGCCAAATAATGAGAGGGACTTGGAGGATTAGAGCATGACTGAATAATGAAATGGCTCGCATTACAAGTATTATATATGTAAAATTGAAAGATTGTTTTATGTCTGATTTACAAAAACTATAAATTATTTATTCTAAATCTCTATCAAAGTTTATCAGGCAACTAAATTTTAATGAATGTTCATGCAACCCACTTAGTCAAGCATTTTTTTTCTGAGTCCTTCATCCATTAATGTTCTCAAACTCTATTGAGTTGCGTAAACCTATAGGAGGACCAGTTGTTTTGAAATTTTATTGGTTAGGCAACTCTGACACTGCACCACTCTTTTATCCTTTTACCCATCTATTTCAGTCCAGCTTAGTCGCAATGCCCATTGCAAAAGTCTCCATACCCAAGGATATCTAAAACAAAAAATAATAAATGTACCCTGAATTTTTTTGCTGTTTAAGTTAGCGGTATTTTTGTAAAAGGATATTAAAGCCACGTTATTTTAATAGAAGAAAAGTATACTTGTTATTAACCTTAAAAACTTAACGGTTTACGATATAATCGCATTTTAGGGATCAGCTACATGATTATTATTGAAAACATTTAGAAAACAAATAAAAAAAAAAACTAAGCTAAATAACATTATATCATTAATTGTGTCACATTAAATGTTCAATATGTCCTCCATTCTGTCGATGCATTTATCTGCACGTTCCATAAAAGATCGTCTCATATTAAACAACATCATTGAATCTATTTATTTCTTCCTAAAGTAATAATATGCCTTTTCATCACAATTTTTTTGTGCGCATGCGTCAGTATCAGCCATATTTTTCGTACTGTTTTTTTGTAAACAAGCATGTTAAAATATCCACGTGAAAAAAATTTTAATCGGTAAATATTAATTTTAAGTGTATTCGTTTAAAAAATGGGATAAAAAAAGTAAAGTAATAAGAAGTGTCTTAATTGAAAAATCAATTTTTGCAATCAATTAAATATGTTATCTTTACGGAAAGGAAAAACTAAACGGTATTGTGTTATGAGTATGTAAAAGTGACACACGGTATAAATTATTATTTTATAAAAAGACTTGCCTGCAATATCGTAAAAAAAACTATCAAATCATTAGGCAAAATACATATTAAAACATGTTCAAAATGAGCATTATGAGTGAAAAAATGTGGTCGAAGTGACAAAGGTTTTCGATCGATTCATGGATGATGTTACTAAAGATACTTATATTTGTTCACTACATTTTCATGGAGAAAGTGGTTCAACAGAAGAAAATCCTTGTCTGGTATTACACAATATTTTTTAATATTAAATACTACTTCGGTATACACAGTAATATTATTAAAAATGGCATGGTGATCCTTATTAATTATACTCGTGATTAACTTTCATCTTAAGTGTTTTTGCAATTTTTAATAGTTGGTTGGCATAATTAATTAGAATAGAGTTATAATTATTATTTGTTTTCATTAATTTTTTACACAGTTAATATGTATTGAAACCTAACCTCTCAATCACCACACTTTTTTTCCTTGTTCCGAACGTCCACGTCACTTCAAGCACCTTTTTAATTGCTCACAACTATGTGCTTCCACAGAGTTATAAAAATGTAAATCACCATCAACGATTTTTTTCTAATGATTG